CCGCAGCGGGACTCTAACCATGACAGTGCAGAGTATAATCTCATCACCTTAACCATTACGCCACATTGTCCCGAGTGCCCTTGGGTCAAAGAGCAGATGTTACTTTCAAGGAAGGCCAGCAATTTTTCCATATTACATCATGTCAAAACTGCAGTCCCCCATGGGTAAGAATATCTTTTGAGAAAGCATGGTTATATGAGATTTAATGGAAACTTAAAGGCTACTTATATCACTGTGGGAAAATTCAGTTACCAGTCCTTCATTATCTTAAACAAAATAGGGTGAACACATTTAATAAAAACTTTAGTGAATGAACCAGGGGTAAACATGAAAGGGATGCACCGAAACCACCTGACGACTAACCGTAGCACGCTGCTTTTAAGACTGGGGACCTTTCCTGAAAATGCAGACGCTGATACGGGTAATTCGAGGTCGGAGTTAGGGCCTGGAGGATGAAGAATGCCATGATTAGTCAATTCTACTGGTCCCAAATCCAAACCCGTCATCTCAGTACCGGCTCTTCTGCCAGATGCAACAGAACCACCGAGAGAATGATTTGCTAGTCTCCGTTCCGTCTGGGAATCCATCATCCTGCCTCCTCCGCCGGAGACTATCGGATGGTGATAAGGGTGGTACACCACTATCTCCTTCTTTTGTATAGACCGACGGTAGAACGGTAGGCACAACCCTCCATCAATGTGTAGCGAAGACTCGGCGTTAGTCGAACTCTTCACGAGGCAACCGTACATAGAACGTCGGTAGAGCAGCAGTCCCGTAGTGACGGCAATGGCAAGAATGACCACAAAGGTGAGCATAACAGCTACCACATACCAAATAGGTTGATTGAAGATGTTGATCCCGGTTGAATGCTTATCATCGGCCTGCCAAGCAGGAGAAAATGCACAAATAACAGACAAGGATGGGATAAAACAACCTATATTTCGTTTTGATTTGATTTTAGGGATAATCTGTCCGTTTAATTTTAGTAACAGGACAAAATTAATGTACGCACTGGTGTGAAGGCCAGGATGGGTTGTCCTTAGTTTGATGGCAGCTTTCCTTCGCTAAAGAGAGTTATTTTGACCGCAGGCTGATGATTTAACTGTGTTTAAAGGTAGCTACCGAAGAATTTAGCAGACGAGAAGTTGAAAAGCCCATTCACTCCACTTTGCAACAGTATTGACGCTGCTCTTTTGACTCGTGTAACGAGTCGAGTTGTACTGAGTATAGCATAATTTTGATAACGGTTACGTGAGAAGAGAAACACTATCCTTGGCAGTCGGGGTCGGGAATGGGGCTGCCAGTCTTGTTGAAGAATAGAGGAGGAAAGAAAATTTGGAAATTCCCTACTTAGTTATTCCACACAAAAAATCTAGTTTGTAAATCAACTTGAAGAAGATTTATTCCTTAGCAATTGGCATAGGTTGTATTTACTTCGGAATAAATTCTTCTGGTGAGTGCAATCCTCCGAGGCTTTGTCATACCTGGAGTATCTATAAGCATACTCAAACTGCTGTAAAATCAGGTTATGAAGGTATTATTATTTTCATAGAGTACTACGTTTGAGCAAGTTATCCTATAGATTATGCAATTCCAAAATTTTCACTTTATCAGTTCGTTATTTGAACATGTAAGGGAGCTTAGCTGTGGAGACTTTTATTTCGTATGAAAGTGCATGAAGAAGAGATTCATAGGTTTATCTCACCAGAAGACGACGGAAATCGACCAACTCCACAACAATGTTGTCAGGAGATTCTTTTAAATTCATTTACTATTCGGATCCATAAGAAAGTTTTAGGTGGCAAGCATTTTATGATATACCTTAATATTGCTACAAACAATACATTTATCGTCTCTTTTGTCGAAATAGAAATATGTATAGCGAATTAGCATTAAAACAGACATTTATACAATATGATAAATGGTTATGTCTGCTAACATAGGCGGCAGATCTTAGTATCAAAGATAAACAGACTTAGGATGGTAATATATGCGAATAAAAGTTGGGTTTCGAGGATTCTCTTGTTTCATAATTGTTGAGTGCACTTCCATTTCGAGTGAAAGTGCTGGGTGAAGAGATTCGAAGGTCGGTTCCACCAGAAGACGACTGCGGATTCCTTTTGACCAGCTGTCGATTGGATTTACTGGAAGATTTATGCTGACACTGTTTCCGAGGTAATCTCCTTCGATTCAGGTGAAAAGGTGCTAAGCTTTTATCCGTCATATGACGAACATCATCAGAACAAGGTATCATCGTCACAACCAAATTTAAACTAACGAGTCAGGAAAACTCACCGGCAAATCCCTAAATAGTGGTATATATACCCTACATCTGGTCTCTTTGATCAAATGTAAAGTGATTTAGTTAATTACGGTCATATGTCAACTTCGAAACCTGTAAGTGTGTCTGTCTCTGTATGGATATGCGCCTGTTTGTGTTCGCTTATGCACGAAATCCGCAGTGATGGCAGTCCTAATTACTTTGAACCACAGGCTTCGAAGTTGACATATGACCGTAACTGACTG